GACTTTTGATCAGTTGACTGCAAATATCATCTGTCAATCTAATGAATTTGAGATGTTTTGAACCATGTAATTGAGTCAAGATGATGCCATTGAATCCTTGAAATCATGCTTGAACTCAATTGTTCATTGGCTAGGTTAAAAATCTGAAATTGCCCTTTCTCAGTCAAAACCCTAATTTTGACCTTTTTGCCCTTTTGATGATTTGATCAAATTTCTTGAGGAGTTGTAATCCAAACTTGATCAAATGGTACATATGAGTCTAAAATGTTTATGTGGATCAAAAATTATGAAGTTTGAATGTAAATTGGCCATGGTTGACTTTTCCCCCAATACAATTGATTTTTAGGTCAACTGTCCAATTGACTGATCAAAAATGTGGTTCAAGGCTTGAAACTTATCATGAGCAATATTAGGGGTCCAAAATGATGTATTAAAGTCACTTGAAGCATTGGTGGTCCAAAAATCCTTGTGCAAACTCAAACCCTAATTTTGGGTTATCAGTGCCAGATGAGATGTCTTGAACTGACCAAACCCTAATCTTGTCTTGAGTCAAAGAAGTCTTGTGAGAAAAGTCTTGGTAAATGAGAGGGAAAATTTTGGGGTACAACAAAGGGTATTGAATAATTAGGGTTTTCTTTGGTTTTGAGGCTCTCCTATGCATTCAAGGGTAATTCAAGTTGTTTCTTCAACGATCATGGTTTTGAGTTAGGGTTGTGTTCATCAAGCTACAAGAATTACATCCTCATCAAGTGTTCTCAAGATCAAGTGCTTAGGGTTTTTATCAATGTTTCGATTGAGAATGCTTCAAGTTAGAGTTTTGGCTCTTCTTTACATCTAAAGTCATTTCCTCACCTACATGTATTCAAGGCATGAGATTATGGTTTTATCTTTAACAAATGGTTTTCTTAAAGGAATTACTTTTTGTATTGATATTATTGTACCCCAAAATTTGCATTCTCTTTTCTCAATACACTTCTCACAAAGATCTTCAATAGCTCAAGATTGTACAAGTGTTGACTAGGTCAAATCACCTCTTAAAAACTGGAACCCAAAATTAGGTTTTTTATTTTCATAAGGAAAATTGGCCTTATAATGCCTTAAAAGATTTTCATGGTTCATTATAGGTCTCCAAGAATACTCATGCCAAGTTTCAAGTCTTAGATCACAATTTTGCTCAGTCAATTGATCAGATGACTGGAAATCAACTATATTGGTTAAAAAATAAATTATGGTCAACCTACAGTCAAACTTCATGACTTTTGGTCCCCATCAGAATTTTTGAAGTTATATTTATCCATTGATCAAGTGTTAATCATAATTCCTCAATAAAAGCACTCAATTCACCAAAAGGGTAAAATGGTCAAGATTAGGGTTTTAATTGTAATTGACTGATCATTGACTTTTGACCTAATACATGATCCAATAGTTTGAAACACAATCTCAAGGATTAAAATACAACATGTTGACCTAATTACATGGCTCAAATCATCTCTCAAGATCAATGGATTGAAAGTTGAATTTAGGATCAACTGATGAAAAGTCAACTGATACACCAAAAGTCAAACTTTGACTTTTTTTGGTCAAATTTGAGTCTCAGAGATCAAAATTCATCAAGACATTCAAAATATGAAGCTTTATCATCAAGAAATCAAGAAAGTCAAAAATCAATTTGAAAAGTCAAACTTTTCAAGACTTAGAAATTTTTGTAAGTGTTTTTTTGTACATGATGATTTCATTACTTCATGCCAATTATTCACCAAGATGAAAGATGATTCAAAGAAAACTTTCAACATAAAAGTTGTAAATCTTGATGAGATATACAACTTTGCTTTACTGATAAAGTCCTATAAGTTCTTGGATTTGGAGTTACAAATTCATGAAGACACACACTCTTTCTAAAAACACTTAGTGAAAATTTTGATCAATTTGGTCAAGATTTTGCCCTAAATTCTTGGCCAATTTTCACCTAGCTCCAATTTGATTTAGCAAAAATGGAAAACATAAAAGTTGTAGAGGATTTTTCAAGCTTTCTAAAATGTCCAAGAACTTGAAGAGATCATTTTTGAACTAAGAGATTCGAAGAGATAAAGATGGCATGATAAACTTAAATTATAAACCATTTTTGTGATGAACTCATAGCAAAATCTCAAACCTATCCTAAATAATCCCACTTTTTAGGCCATTTGACTTCTAAATATCACCACGATCAGAAATTTACACAAGTTCCAAATGTATTACACAAATATTAGAAGCGTTGTCCAAGTCTTGATACTATTTTTGGATAATTTGCATAAAGTCATTTTACCATTTTGGTAAAGCAAGCTTTATGCTAACAACTCTTTGCTTAAACTTGTTATTTACTCCTAATAAGATCCTATACAATCTAAATATCAATAAGTCAGTAAAAGCATGGAAAAATCCCTTGAATAACTCACTTTCTTCATCATGAAGCAACAAAATCTTTGTATTTTTGAAACAAGCCAAAAACTTCAAAACTTCAGAATTGATATTCTCACTCATTCTAATCTTTTCTCTATAAATAGAGATGCATTTTTCAAGCAATAGCACGAAATTAGAATCCTGAAAACTCCCTCAAACTCTCTCAAACTCAATTGCATTTCAACCTCCATAACTTGTCATTTCTGCCCAAGAACCTCAAACTCGCATTTCCCTCGTGTGTTTCCTATCTAAACCAATTTTAAAGCTTCCATACATCAAATATAGTTCATCCCTACCCTTGTTCCACAACTGTAACTCCATTTTCATCACCTTCCAAACTCAAAAACAAAGTTCTGCAAGTGGACTTCTCCTGCACGATTCAGCCATCCTCGGCACAAACTAAGCATTGCATTATCTTCCTGGAGGGTCAGTGAAATTATTATGATCATCATAACACCTTGAGGGGTGCTCAAGCTCAGAATATGATTTCCAGTTTTGAGGTAAGTTTCCTTAACTTTGAACTCTCTACAAGCATCATTATTGGATCATTTGTGAAGATAAAATGTAGACATCATAGCCCTGAAACTAACCATGCCCTTAGATTTCATTTATATTGTCTGAGTAGTGTGAATTTCAAGCTTGAACTTCCTTAAAAAGTTAGGTCATATTTGGTACCAACTGAAACTCTCATTCGTCTTTGATCCATTATTTAATTTATTTACATATTTGAAATCATGATGAAATTTCTAACAAGTTTGATGTTTACAATTTCTAAAATGGTTGAGAAATGAGAAAGTTACAAAGTTAAAAAATGGTGATGAAGAAGTTGGCGCGAGGAAGAAGAAGATGATACAGTCAGGAGCTCGTTTAAAATATAATATGTTAGTTATGCATAAGTTAATGAATGTATCACCACCCCGATGGTTAAAGCGCGCTCCTTTGACCCTTGTGACCTGGGTTCGAGCCCCAGTGCCATTTTGTTATTTTTCATTACATTATCTGACCCTTTTTTGTTTGCTAGCGCGCCTGGGCTCCCCCCATTTGGGCCTGAATTATTTCTGAACTTCTCAACCCGTCCCCCCCATTCTATTTCTCATGCGCAGCCCATTACATTTTTTTTTAATTTTTGTTTTCTGATTTCAAAAACAGTTTGGGCCTACCAACAAAAACTTTTTTACTTTCTAGCCTCCTAACTACTTTCCAAACCCCTGACTTCTAATTTATATTTTTTATTTTATTTTCTCTTCTTTTTTCTAATAATATTATTTTTTATTATTAATATCAAAAAATATAAAAATAGATTTTCTTGAATAACTAAATTATTAAATATTTCAATTTAAGTATTTATTTTATTTTGTAAATACTTAAAACTAGATTTATTTATTTTATACACTTTAAAATACTTCTTTCTTTTTAAATTAGTATTAATATTCAAGTTCATTTTTCTCAAACAAATTTACTTAGACTCAGGGTTTTTCTTAGTTTTAATTAACTTAGACTTTAATTTTTTTATTTATTAAATAACTAATCAACTTCTTTTGTGATTAAAATTAATTAGTTGGATTAGGTTAACCTTTAAACCTTTTTCATACAAAAAATCATAAAAAATAATTCTCTTTTCTTTTACATTATCTTTATATTTTTGTACATTTTATTTTGTATTATTCAATTTGGTTGTAATAATAATTAGAACTTTATTGCTTTATATCCCCATTTGTAAGTTTGTATCCCCCATCCTAAAATGATGTATTAGCGTAGAACTTTAAATTCCGTAATTTATCACTTTCCATATTATTGCTAGTAATTAGGGTTTGTATGACAAGACTTAAAATCAACAAGTAGACAACCTTAATTCAAGACAAAAATATATAAAATCAAAACACTTTGCACACTTGCACCTCTAGAGTTAACTCACACTTGTTGCCTCGGATTTAAAACAGTCATGTCCCTCGAACGTGGGATACTTTAGCAAAGACCCTCGATTACAAGATTGTAGTCCCTCGATGACTCTTCAATGTTGTCTTCGATAAACGATCTTAAACCCTTACGACAAATTGTTAAGGTATCCTACAATGTTCCTTTCTATGATTGTACGATGATCCTCGCCTGTCCCTTCACATCCAATGATATAGCTTCTTACCAAACAATGATAGACAAGCATTGTCTAAAGGAGGAGGAAAAGAACAAAGACTTTCTTTTGAGTAGGAAGAATGTTCGTAGTTGCTTGCTCACAAAAATTTTCCAAAACAAAATATCTTTTAAACACACCAACACTTTCATGAAATATTTTCAAAAGTCAACACTTTGTATACATTCTTATAGAGACGAGAATCATTACAAAATTCGCCTAAATAAAGGCACTTTTCAAAAATACTTTCAAAACAAACACATTTTTGCAAAGCATTTCAAAGTGAGCTAGCAACTAAGAGTCCGTAGATAACTACAGATGAAAAGAATGATAACACCTTCCCTTTTCATAACCTACCCCCGAACTCAAGAAAATTCTTAAAAGGTCTTTCCGGTTCTTTTCACGTTTTCCTTTATTGGATAAAAAAAAGTCGATGGCGACTCTTTCTATCCACAACAATTGCAATAAAATGCAAAACACTCAAGTCAGTTCTCTCACCGTATTACAGAGATCATCTTTCGTCTATCAAGAGGTACACATGTTGCTTAGGCTACATGACGTAATCTTTGGTTCTTGTACGAGAAAAGAAGAACATGACTATCGTCAAAGGATATCACCCATAGCTTCATTCAATCTTATGCAAGCATCACCAACATTCATACATGCTCATTCAATTCCATTCAAGGTTATAAAAGTACATTATTCGTCAAACTTCCATCCAAGGATCTTATTAATTTTGTTCGAAGTACAAATTAGAAATCACCATTTACATTCATCCGAACCTTGCAAGATTATACCATTGCCTTTACATAAACCATTACCGTTACAAGACTATCTCATGTCACAAACGTTACAACTCAAAAACAATTACAAAAAAGAGTTCTCATATCTATCTTAAAGCATGTCTCTTCATACTTTAAAGTCTTCCATGATAAACCTCCATGTTCCAAACTCTTTGCCATCTTCCATAATTTCATCCTCTTCAACTCTTAAACCGAGCCAAAAGAGTACTCGACCATGCCATTATCTTACTTGCTAACACCCAATTCTATGCTTGAAAACCACAACTGAATCGGCATAAAACCAAGCATACCATGTCAATTCCAGCATAGGCAGCAATCTAAACATCATCCAGCTCCTTTAATTCCAAGCATTCAAACATATCATCCAAAACAACATGAAAGCAATGCGGCAATTTCAATTCTCGGCATATACAAATTAATACAGTCCAGTTATGCAACAAGTTTCAAGACATTCTCAAGCATTCGAGCAAGATCAAGGCTAAATCAAATGTCAAACAACCCTGTGTATTTAAGACAGATCCACACCTTATCCCAAGTTGATCTACACTTCAAGCTGCCATGAACTTCACGAAGCCATAACACAAAATCACAAAAAACTGATTGGCACTAACCAAAACAGTTATCCAAACAACTCGCAAAATCTAGAAATAACAATTAACAAGACCAATCCCTACAATTCACCAGTCATAAAACCAATTGCATTGCCCTGCACTATATTCAAATAACAATCAATTCACACATAATAAACCGACATGCTTCAATATATAAACCAAAACAATTCACAAGAAAATCCAGAGTAAAAACTAGTTCAAAAAAACCATTTCAGTAATAGTTTTTAAACAAAACCAACTTTAGTAGGATTTTTAGTTTAGAACTAACTATATTACCAATAAAATTTCATCAACGGAAAATACCAAGCAGATTTTGAGATCAAAACTAACCTAATAATCTACCAATCTCATCCCTCCATCTTGTAACCAACTCATTTAATCCATTGGCTGTAATTTCTTCACCCGTAATAAACTATAACAGACTACATAAGGCATCATCACCTTCATTCCTCTTCATTCTTCAATTCGCAGAAGAATCATCAAAAAAATATCTGAAAAAACTCTTTGTTCTCCTCTCATCTTCATATTTACCGTGCTTCATCAGTAGAAGAATCACCAACCTCTCTCTCTCTCTAAAATATCTCTGCTCTCTCTGCATAATCTTCAACCAATCTTCATTCTAAATCTCTCTCTATCTCCCTCCATAACCATCAACTTCAATTATCATCATCTTCATCGCAACATTGCTACGCAACATCAACATCATACACAATTTCAACATCTTCATTTGTTCATCATCAACGCGCACAACAACAAATCACTGTAACTTCATCCTACATCATCATCATTTCACGCAGCAGCTTTCAACATTGAAACATCAACCACTTCAGAGAATCCGCAACCTAAGGTTAAATCGGTGAAAGAAGGAAGCGGATATGAGCAAAGCCGGTGGAAGAGAAGCTGAATCAGAGATGCTTTGATTGAGAAGCGAAGGCGAGATGATGTTGAAGCAGAGATCAACGGAGCATAGACAATGACGAACAAAGACGGAGCATCTTGAGAATTTGATACAAGACGGAGGTGAGTGGAGATCGTGCCACCGCGGTTTGGAAGTGAGGAAGAAAGTCTTTGTGTTTCACGTATGAATTCCAAAAGCCACTTCCCCTAACCCTAACCAAATTCTCCAAAACGGAACTGTATTCATTCGTTTCTATTTAATATTTTCATTTTATTATTATATTAAATTGAAGAAAGGAAAAGCTGAATAAATCTGTGGGAATTTTGATGGTAGTTGATGTTAAAATCGTGGGCCTTGCTTCATGGTTGAGCCCATGGTATTTGTTTTTTGGTATCTTGTTGATATACAAAAACTATGTGTGGATCACTTATGGACTGGGCTTAGTGATACATATTGGACCACTGGATTATACCTCCTACATACAGTTTACACCTCCTGGACGCCTTGATTTTATTTTCCTTGTATAATCATTATGATTGACTTTTAACTGAGCGGGTAATAATTATTGAAGAATTTCAAGAGGTTTTAAAGCAAGTTAAGAACTTAATCTTCATCAAATAAATTTAAGGAGGCTTTTGTAGATTTTTCTTATCACTTGCACGACTTTGAAGAGGCAACGAACCTTCTCCGTTAGGTATCATCGGGCCTTTTATTCCTTATTTTTGCATTGTTTTTCGCTTTCTTTGCCATGAGAAGTAGGACTAGAGATGCATGATTGAGAGTCTTTGCATTAGGCAAGCAATGCTGTTTTAAAAGACATGTAGCATGAAATTTCTATATGTGTTTGTTTGTTTACCATTTCGTGTGTTTACATTTGTGCCAAAGACCTCGATGAAGGTGTCCCACTCCTATTTCCCCATTGATAAGTACTCAAATAAGGTAAGTGGAAAAGGTTCCACAATCGACCCCCACAATTTCTAGTCCACAAGTCATTCATAGCTCGCTTCGTATGTCGATGTTATGAATCATGATATTCTTGTTATTGAGTCAGTCAAGTGGAATACATGGGTCTGTAACCAATCCCACATGCTTTGTCATTAGCTTGTGTGTCGTGCACGTTAACGCTCTGATGTGATCGTATTATTGTCTTTTATCTCCTACCTTGATAACATGATATATTCGTTGGGTGTTTAGTCACCTATGACGATTCACTCTCATTCTCCTCTTGCCTAGATAATGTGATATCTTAGTTAAGAGTCGACACCGCTTGCTCTTCTTGCCGTGATGACATAATATCATGGTTAAGAATTGCCTATTCCCCCATTCTTGCTTGCCTCGATAACTCGATGTCTTGGTTAAGCCTCCATTTATCCTACCTTGATGACTCGATATCATGGTTAGGTGCCCTTTCTCCCTTTTCGTACCTCGATAACATGATATCATGGTTAGACGTGATCCCTCTCCTTATCCTTCCTTGGTAACATGATACCTCGGTTAGGCGTGTGCTACTTGAGTGAGTGAATACTCCTCAAGCTTTGTGTGTTTACTTTTTATTGCACGATTACATGCTCCCATAAAATTTCTCGATTCAATCTTATGAAGAGAATTGAGATAGACCTTAGGTTGCAAACCATGCATACCAATACTAGGTAGACTTACCTTTTATCCTCAACTATAGGATCAACTTTGCATTACAATTCTAGGCTTACTTTACTAGTCTCCCTTAGACCTTTTTCTTTCTCTTTTGCATTTGCATTAAACCTAAAACTCCTTTTTCTTTTAAACTCATAAAAACAGTCTTATACTACAAAAACCCTTTTTCAAGGTAAAAAACACCAACCAAATCAAGCTTCATTTTGCCGTTTGGCTTTTCTTTTAAAACCCTTTTTTAAGGTAAAAAAACATACAACAAACCGAAACATGTGAGCGGAACTACGACGCTCTGATTCCTTGAAAGGGGTGTGTAGGAATTAGGTCGTGGGGCCTAGTTGAGCAAAACTTTGTAAATATTCCTTCTTTTCCTTGTATTTTCTTTCGCACACATTTCCTCCCAACATTAAGCTTTAGAAATAGATTTTTACACACCTTTAGATTAGAGAAAACTTAAGTGGATCCTGTGGAGTACCACAAATGCGTGGGGTGCTAATACACTCCCCTCGCGTAACCGACTTTCGTAACCTTTCTCTTGGTCGTAAGACCATCATATCCATTTCTTTGGGGTTCTATCGATATCTTCCCTTCCTTCGGGATAAATAGAGTTTGGTGGTGACTCTGTATTTTTTCACGGTGGGATATTCGGGAGCATGATGACTTTGTGATATCCGAAGGATCGTTAGTCATGTACCCTTGGCGGGCACATGGAGGAGACGTCTTTGACGTGCTCGTGAAGGAGATGTCCTCGACGTACATGTGAAGGAGACATCCCTGAAGGGAAGTTGAGGGAGGCGTTCCTCAACGATCATAGTGCCCGACGGAGGACCAAGTCTAGGTCCAATCCTTAATAGATTGTTGGGCCTTTTTTGTAGCAGAGTTGGGTTAGGCCTTTCCCAACGATAGACTAAGCGTAGGCCCAGTCCAGAACAGTTAGTAATACCTAGGTCAATATGGTTTCCCCCTTGTTTTTCATTAGCATTAGAAATAATTTTGAAATCCCACTCACAATCCAATCATTTATATTTTCCATGTTATACAAATCAGTCAGCATAACACAAGTGAGGATTTTTTTTATTGTGATAAAGGTACCCATAAATTCGAGTCATTCTACATATGTTAGTTTGGTTACTAGTATTAAAATAGGTGTCAATATACTTCTCATTATTATTCATAATTGTCATGTTCACAGACTTATTCCATATTAAAATAAGACCACCTGATTTTTCCCCACCAATCATGGAACAATCAATCATGTGGAATTGACTCATAATAGGGCAAAAATTACATGATTTTTTTGAAAGAGGGATAGAGAAGCTTATTCCAAGAGGAACACAATATCTAGGTGATTGTAGTTAATCATGTGCTTAAGGGCTCTACTTGTCCGGGGATTTCCTAGTCCCCAACAATTCTAGCTTAGGATCCTCATTGTGTCTGGTTGGCCCTTGACTATCGTGTTGTTATTAGAGACATTGTAGAGGTTTGATTCTAGGACTTTCCTAATTTTTCTACATATCTTTTCTCCCATCTAAGCTGATCTGATCTTAGCAGGGAGACCCCATAACTGGATCCACACTCAAACTTGATATAATTAATCTTTTTTTAGTTAGGTAATCTTAGTTCTAAGCTTGAACCAAGAACCAGGTGTTTCTGAAGATCCATTGGTTCCCCTTTAGGATTCTTTTGGCGTTAATGTTATCTTCCATATAAATATTATACAAACATGCATCCATTTATGTTATATGTATTCCTTTTGATATGAACCAGATATGGCCGGTCCCAAGGAAATATAATTTTTCTGCATAGATTTTCCGGAGATAAACATGCCTATAATGGCATTTTTTTAGTATTTGTATTCTACTTTGATGTCGTCTTCATCCCAGATGTAGAAGTATGCATCTTCCTCCTTCGTCGTAACATTTTCTTTTACATTTTT